CACTTTTTTTTGGTCTTGGGTATCATCTGCTCCTGTCCTCGTACATGAAAGGTTCTGTGCTTTGTGTAAACACACTTCGAGACAGAAACTGTCTTCCAAGAACAGGGACAGAACAAGATACTTCAACACGACTTCAGGTCTGATCTCCACAACGCAAGTCTCCAGCTTTAAAAATCCTGAAACTGCTTCTGAGCCCTGTGCTTACAGAAAGTTTGCAAAGCGCTGACAGTGAAATGAAGCTCTCCCTCAACGCAGAGTGACCTTTTTCCTTCATAGGTTACAAAGCAGTTGAGTGCGTGCATAAAGCAGAGGAGTGAATCCGTATGTCCACTCAGAGGCCAGCTGTAACCGCAATCCCGAGTGCACAGAGGGAATGCAGCCCCCCGACACCCACGCGGATGACATCCCAACCGCGGACCGTATACCCTTTTCAGGGTACGGGATGTAGCAGGGAACATGCTCGTCTGGCAGTCCGCGGCTGCCGGCAGTGCTCCGGGGGCCTCAGGTGCAGGGTGTTCTGCAGTCGGCTCCAGCGCGGCACCTTCGCAGGTTTTTGTGCTAACACTTGCTCCCAATGGTGCAGGGGAGCCTTTCTGAGCCTGGCCCATGAGTCCACTGGTTCTCATGGAAATACAACAGGGTTTGGACTGACCCCACAATTCTGGCTCATGAAGCAGAAAAAAAGCACAGTTCTTGCGTCCTCAGGTGCAGGGTGTTCTGCAGTCGGCTCCAGCGCGGCACCTTCGCAGGTTTTTGTGCTAACACTTGCTCCCAATGGTGCAGGGGAGCCTTTCTGAGCCTGGCCCATGAGTCCACTGGTTCTCATGGAAATACAACAGGGTTTGGACTGACCCCACAATTCTGGCTCATGAAGCAGAAAAAAAGCACAGTTCTTGCTTGGTAGGTGTCCAAGAGGATTGATTAGAGCTGCAAGGGAAGAGTGTTTCTCCACAGAGATGCCTGGTCCCTTCGTGAGCTTATCGTGCCAAAACCGTGCAGCCTAGTGAGTTTTTGGCAGTGCCGTGCTATGCTACCAGCTCTGCCAGTGGCTGGGGCAACATGGCACGCCGGTCAGAGCACTGTGAAACCGCTGATGCTCAGTAGATGAGGAAATGATGCAGAGTTGAGCCATAAAACAGGGAGACACTGGCAGAATTTTAAGATGTTGCACTGGCTGTAAAAGGGTGTGGTTGCTTCAAGGCTGTAGCAAAGAGAATGTAGAAACCAAGAGAAATGACAATGCCAGATGATGTTCCCATCTCTGTTGCATGTGCTATGCACTGGCTGAGCTTCATTTCCTCCATGTTCCTCTGCACATAACTTTGCAAGTTGTGCCCGGAATGCATGATGTATCCGAGAGGCATAAACCAGCATGTGGCTGCATGGTGATGGTGAGGAAAATACTGACTTTCAAAGGTAATCCCAATAACCATGGGACATTGTCCATTTTCCAGTGGTCATCTCCCATTGCCCAGAATGCAAATCTGGACTGGAATGAGCAGGACTGCTGGGGAACAGAGCAATGTCAACCTCAGTTGCCTTGCAGGGAATGGGGAGACATTTTTATTTACTTCCTGGTAATTAATTATGTCCTGCATCTCCCATAGGAGCCAACAAACACCACAAACAAAAAGGAGAAAGACCAGAAAAAAGCATGACTCAAATATATTGCAGGAATGAAGAACTACTAAGAAACTTCTGCTGAACTGGTCCCAGAATACAAATTGCACAAGATATTTCTCCTTACTAGAGTCTCTCAGTTCTCTGATCTTGCCTTCAAACTACATTATGCAAAAGACATCTGAACTTATCTTTGGTCATTTCAGTTTATCCCTTATTTTGCTGAATGATGGGTGGTGGATTTCAAGGTGACTTCTCATTTGCCAAAATCATTACAGTCTGTTCCTGACTGACTGGATGGAAAAAGCAGTAAGAAGATGTACTGATTCTGCACATGCCCATCAGATAAACGTGTGGCACTTAATTTCACACACCTTATGCAAGCAGTCAATTAATGCTCCTGCTTTAGCACTGAGCACAAATTCCATACATATGACTGGGCTCATTTCAGCATGACCAAGCCCCCATGCAAAATGGAGATTAGATACAGGTTTTGGCCGAGAAATTTGCGAAGAGATGTTATCTCAGGGTCCTTACCACACAAGCACAAATAGGAGTGGGGACATGGTTTCAATGCTGATATAGTCTCTGTTTACTGGATAATATCTAATCAATTTTTTCCAGCACCCTGATGAATATGATGCAGTTCCTAATCCTGCAGTCAGTCTGTTAGACATGGATTGAAGTCATCAGCAAGAAAATAATGTTCTCAGAAATGGCACATCATTAGCTATATGCTCACCTGGGGTTATACTCTTTTTGCCAGGCAATAATGCTATTCCAGGAGCGTAGAGACGTACATAAGCAATAGGAAAGAAGAGTTTATTAACCAAGATGGTTATTGAATTGTTAAGAGGAAATTTTCACCATGCTAAATTCTGTAAGAAAGTGCCTCGTAATTTCTCAGAACTGGGGACAAAATGATGCTCTGGCAGAAGTCTGGGCTGTTCCTTCTCTGTGGGGTGGCTGACGGTGGCTGTCAGTTGTTGAGCCCAGAGGACAGCATGCAGGCGCTTGCTGAAACGTGCCAAGCTCCTGTTCCCGACAGAGCAGTTTCCTTCCCCCTCACCTGGCTGTGCTGGCAGCAGTGGGGGGGTTCACAAGACGGGGTATCCCGTGCTGGTGCCAGACCGGCGCTCAAGGAGAGGGGAAGCTGTTCCTCCATTCACAGCCATACCCTGGACATAGCTGGGAAAGAGGGC